TGGAGGACGGCTCAAACAATTCTGCTTTGGGAAATGAGGCAACTTCTCATCTAAATGGTAACATCTGAACTGGTTGAGTGATTAAAAAAAAAAGAACGTGTCAGGGTTAATTGGGTAAGGGAATCCAGGAAGAGAGAAAAGCAAAGTGCTGGCTGGTTTTGAGAGGTTTTTTAGGAGGAGATCTCACAGGACTTAAATGAATGCGGGTATGGAATTGGAGGTGCAATAGATGAGGGAGACAAGGATAATAGTGAGATTTCCTATCTGAATAGCCAGGGGAATGAGATGGTCCAGGGAAAGCATAGAGAATAAGATTGCAACAGGATTAAAAATGGAACCCTGGAAACCATGACATCTACCACTTCAGGGAAGGAAAGATAATGAAAAGGGAGGACCAGTCAATGAAAGAGAATAAGGAGGGAAGGAAGCAAGAGGAGGAAATGAGAGTAGACTCCTGGAAATCAAGATTTTTCAGACGATGACCGCTGATCATAAAGACGACACAGAAATATCTGACCAAATGAACGTTGACAATCACCCTCATAATTGTGCAAAAGGAAGTACCTGGTGACCCTTTTAATAGTACTTGACAATGCAGATCAGAGCAGAAGAAGCTGACTTGTTAATGGAAGTTGAAGAAATAGATGTCAGGATCTAGATTATGGTTTCCAATCAGTTTGATGTAGATACGAAGGAGGAAGTGAGAATGGTGGGTGATGGAGGAGGTAAAGGAAGAAGAAAATCTTAGAGCATGAAAGAAGGAAACTGACATTTCTGAATCACCTACGATGCATAGCATTTCACTAGGCCCTTGCAAATATGTGGACTTTTTTGAGCATACCTGTAGGCTAAAAGGAATGAGGGAGTAAGAAAATGAAATTACAAAGGAAAAAAAGAAAATTAGATGTGATGGGAAGAGGAAACACCAAGAAGGAATCTGTCTTTCCTAGAACAGGCATCCTTGGAACGTTTGGCTGCAAAGTTTCTGGAATTTTCTCAATTTGGGTGTCTGACCTGAATAGAGGGCTTTTCTGAAAGAGGAATACACTTGTTAAAAATGACAACTAGACTCTAATAATAGCTAACACTTATAGGATGCTTACTCTGTGCCACACTCTAAGCACTTCCTATGCATTGATGCCTTTGCCCAACTACCCAATGATGGAGATGTTATTTTTAACCCCCATTTTATACCAGCAGAAACTGAAGCACAGAAAGATGAAATAATTCCCAAGGTCACAGAGCTAGGATGTAGCAGAGCTAAGATCTGAACCCATGCAGTCTGTAACCAAAGCTTGTGTTTTTAATCCCTGTTTAAACTGTCTATCCAATAGTATTTCTGCACAAATCACATAACTACGCTTAGCCCACTTGCTCTTATTCTAGACTCAAAGTCAAGTTCTGGCTATTTGGTTTTCTGCTGTGCTTCAGAAAAGTTGCACTTTACTTCAAGAAGCTCATGAATATCAAAACCTTAATCACAGCTATTTGGATGACACACGTTCATGCTTTACAAACCAACCATGGCCCTAGTCATATTAAAATCAAAGTTGCAAAATAAAGAAACATTCTGAAAAACCTTGTCTGCTTCATTTAGATAACAGCGTGCAGAACGAATTGAAAGATAAAAATGCTCAGCATTTACCATTTCCTTTTCCTTTTTTAATTTGAAACCCCTGTGGTGTTGTGGATGCTATCATCAGGCAATTTGCTTTGAATATGCTCCGTGCTGGACTCTGCAGATTACCCAACTAATGACATGCACACTCCTTGCCATTGTGACACCTCTCTTTTCACAAGTGGGAATTTCAAGTGACAGACTAAAGCTGTTTGCTATCAATTTTGCAAAAAACACATCTGCCAGAGAGCCAAGATTTAGTTCAGAGACGGAAATCAATTAATATTCTAATTTGTTACCTGTCATTAGCATCACCCTATTATGCCAAGTCAAAAGTGATAACCTTTATCTAACATATGCTCCTAAAGGAATTTGATTTAGGGATCTGTTTCATTTCTGTTGAGTGTTGCTCTCTGTGTATAAATCCCATTAGAAATTTCAATTACACGGGCAGTAAAAATTGTGATGGATTAAAATGAAAGTGTAAAATACGCCGTTACAATATTTATCATAAACCTGCATGGCTGTATTTATTATTTAGCTTTCCTAAACTTATTTACCAAACCGTTTAAAAATTTTAGGTATCTCAGTTGTTTCTTCCCATTAAATCAAGGAGAGAGCCAGCAACATAATATTTCTAGAGGTGTTACCTAGATCCTCTGACATTCTATTATTTTAGGTTGCTGGTCAAAGCAAATCTCCATGGAGGAAGGCTGATTTCCTGGTCTAATTCCCAGTGCCGAAGAAAGAAACACAGGAATGGGATAGTGGCTTGGGAAGAAGGAAAGAAATGAGAATAGCCAAGGGAAAGAAAAAAAAGAAGGGAGAGTTGCATAGATATTTTTTCCCAGCTGATTCTTTTCCTGCTGATACACAGGGAGGAAAGTATAAAGTAATAGCTGGCACTAAGTGGAGAAGGCTAAATGATGGAGTTATGACTATAAATATGGAAACAACTTGTTTTTTCAATGTGAATGACACAGTCAAGCATTGAAATGATGCTTTCTTTGGTGTTAGAAATTAAATTTAAAAAATTTATTGTAGTTGATTTACAATGTGTTAATTTCTACTGTACGGCAAAGTGATTCAGTTATACATACTTATACATTCTTTTTCATATTCCTTTCCATTATGGTTTATCACAGGGTATTGAATATAGTTCCCTATGCCATACAGTAGGACGCTGTTGTTTAAATTTTTTCATATGCTTTAAATTTTCAGCATCTTAAGGCCTGAAAATCTAAGAGTGGGTGGTTCAGGATATAAGTTAAATCAACATTGATTCATTCATTAATTCACTCAACAAATAGATATTGAGTGCCCCGTATATATTAAGGATCACCAGGGATGAAACTATGCATAGAACAGACCCAACTTCTTGCACTCATAGAGGTTACATTATTTTGGAGAGAGCCAGAGCAACTGAACAACAGATAATAAAATACATAGCATTTCAGATGGTGCTAAGTAATACAGTGAGAAATAGAGCAAGGGAGAGCAAGGGAGAGGACAGGAAATGCTGGCAAAGATTGGGTGGGGTAAATGGGTTAGAGTTTTAAATAGCATGGTTGGGGAGGTCCTAATTAAGAAGATGCTATTGGGTGAAGGCCTAAAGGAGATGAGAGAATGGGTGTGTGGATACACGGGGAACATTAAATCTCACTGGTATCGACATTGCCATTGCTTCTCATATTGTTTACTCTTCCAGAGAAGGAAATGGTGTTGAAGACAAGGCAGAATACGCGTTTGATTTGGTGGTGTTCTTTTCTATCTCTGCTTCCCTCTAACACATTTCTTTTAGAGCAAGCATTTCGATAAAATATTCAAGGGAGAGTTTGCCCCCATGACAGGTGCATTTGGCTTTTGCCCTGTAGTTATGACTTCAAAGTCATATCAAAAGATACCCAAATCAGTCCATCAGCTCAGCAGCAGAGCAAGGAAGAGAACCTGAGAGCCTGTGTTCTCCATCCTAGGGATCGCTCTATTGGACCATCTCCCTCTTCCCTAGGTTATGGAACTTCATGCTGGGAATGGAAATTACTGACAACTGAGCTAAGAGTGTCTCTCAGATGCACTTGGATTTGTTAAAGGTGGACAAACAGATGAACAAGTTGTTAATTCCTGGGAGGATAAGAAATTGATTCCCTGTAGTTTTCATTTAGTTTCTCAATGTCCTTATAGAATAACTCTTATAGCTTTGGTAAATCTCTCATCTAGATGATTGCAACAGCCTGCTTTATCTTCTGTCCTTGCCCCTCCAAGCACATTTTCAACACAACAGCAAGAGTGATTTTTAAGAAAAACCAATGTCAGATCATGGGATCCCTCTGCTCAGAATGTTGCGAAGCCATTTCATTTCACTCGGAGTAAAACCCAGCTTCCTTGGAACAATTCACTAGGCTCCATATAGCGGCCTCAGGTTTGTCTTCCGCCATTCTCTACCTTGTGTTATTCTATGGAAGGCACACTGAGCTCCTTGCCATTCCAGACAGACTCTTGCCTAAGGGCCTTTGTATAACACAGGTTTTAGAGCTTTCTCCCCTACTTCCTCCAGGTTTCCTTACAAAGGAAATCAGCTCAGATAATCCTAAAAAGTAATAACCTTTTACCCTCTACCCCCTTCCCTTTCCCACTTACTCTCCTTCTGTTTCCTTATATTATTCACCATTTCATGATGTACCATAAACATTTGCCTCCTTACTGATTATTTCTTTTCCCCCACTAGAATAAAAGCTTTGTGAGGGCCAAAACTTACTTTCCCAGAACCTAGAGAAGTGTCTAGTGCATAGTAAATGTTCATCTCTGAAGAAAAAAGAACAACCTGTAGTTTATGATTTAAATTAAATGGCGCTGGTTGGACTTAGTGCTATACCCACACAAATAAACTTAGGTCCAGGTTATTGTTTCTTTCCCAATGACAACAAAGAAAATGTTAAAAAGTGTGCAAAAGCTTTTGAAATATTAACAGATGAGTGAAAGAAAACCAAACTTGTAATAATGGGAAAGTACATTTTAGCTATTGCTTAGGAATAATCTTTACAATGGAATGATTTCATAAATACAAATCTAAAATACACAACACATAAAACGTTAACATTCTCTGGAGAAAGAGACATTGAAGAAGATTAAAAAAAAGAGCCCACCTACATTAAACACAAGATAGTTTTTTTTATAAATTGGATTTTCATTTATTAAGTATATTTAAATCCTTAAGAAGAATATTCCATTTCCAAGAATATTCCATTTTATTTTTGGAATACTACCATTCCAATAATAAAAAAATCAAAGGTACCCTTAGGTTAAGAGGAATTCTTTTCCTCCCAATGGGTACGTTGATTTTCAACCATTTATTTTTACTCAAGTAACAATATGCAATACTCACATGGAATTTTATGCAACTCATTCATAAACTTTTCCTTCAGCTTAGAAAAGCCATCCTCCTTTCCTTCCCCAGGACTGGCTGGCTCTGTGGCATTAGTTGGTAGAACAGTCGCAGCAGTGGTGATTGGCGGGGCTGCCAGGGCCTCATGATGACTCTCGCTCACCATTTTAGGTTCAGGTGAAACTGTGAGGGGAGGGAAGCAAAAAAAAGAACAATTCAAAATGGTTTAACTGACCCCACATCAGATCTATTCTAGAGATGAAAAAACATCCGAGGGCACATCTGCTCACTGGGTAAACAGCCTGTCATTAGCATATTGCTTTATGTTGGTTCATGAAATATTTATGGAACCACAGAGAAGGTTCTTCCCCAGAAGGTAAGACCAGACATAGTTACTGAAAGCATTTTCTCCTAACAATAAAATGAAACTGTCAAATCTATTAGTTACTTATACAGGCAATTACTTGCTATATAGATTTAACTTTTTAACCCATATCCTACTGAAATGTCCATGAAACAATTGCTGACAACATACATGCTCTATACTCTAAATGTTTTGCGTTTCCGAAAAGGAGAGACCAAATATTTATATTGGAAGTGTTGATAAATTATAAAAGATAGCACATTCAAAATGTTAGTAAATTTTAAAATGGGTGTAAAGAATACTATTGTAACACTGATACTCTAAGATTCCTGAATGTTATACAGAAATTAGTTCTTGAATCTCATTTATTGATAGCATGCTTTCTGCCCAGTTATTTTTTTTTGACATTTACTATAGATAATACTATGATCAATAATTCACTTGTCTTGCTGGGTGAATTTTTTTTTTTAATTCTTTATTGGAGCATAATTGCTTTACAATGGTGTGTTAGTTTCTGCTTTATAACAAAGTGAATCAGTTATACATATACATATGTTCCTATATCTCTTCCCTCTTGTGCCTCCCTCCCTATCCCACCCCTCTAGGTGGTCACAAAGCACCGGGCTGATCTCCCTGTGCTACGCGGCTGCTTCCCACTAGCTAGCTATTTTACATTTGGTAGTGTATGTATGTCCATGCCACTCTCTCACTTTGTCCCAGCTTATGCTGAATTTTTGAAGCCACTGTAAATGTGGCATGATTGACTATATAGACTAAGGTGCTGATGATAAAACATGACTTTAATTATTTCAGTTTATTTAGTTTGATTATATTATTGAATTATATAATTAATAATATAAATTATTAAATTTATGCAATTATTTAAAATGTTATCTTCAAAATATTTTAAAAAATGAATCCTTAAGGTAGTCAGTGAAAAAATCTTAGCCTTGAATACAGAAAACAGTTCTAGTTTTCTTCACTAGCTAAATGAAGTTTGACAAGGCATTAAACTTCTTAATTAATACATCTTTTGAAATATGAAGAATCAAAACCTGCCCTGCCTAGATTTTTCTTAGTACCTGTGAAGTGCTGTATAAATGTAAGGGAGGTCTTCTAAAGGGGTACAAATGAAGTCATATTCTCCAATCTAAACGTATTCTGGACTTAAATACTTTTACTGTGTGATGTAAGTTTTCAGACTGTGCTGGTGAGAGTGGACATGATTTGGGGCAGAAATAGATAAATACAAATAGGCCTGGGCCTAACTTCACAGTCTCAGCAGGAAAGTTGATGGACCCATAAAGCCCTTCTGAGTTGCAAAGAAATGGAAATAACGAGCAAGCAGATAAAGGATTTTTATAGAATTCAAACCTTCTGTGCATTAATTACGCCTACTTACATATTTAGTGAAAGTAGAATAATCTCAAATGTATGGGATTTATTAAAATCTTAATCAAAATCTAGAGATTTTGGGTCTCCTGAAAGGAGATCAAGGATGAGGCTGAGATACATAGATAATCAAATTTTATAATAGATTAGTTCTCTTTTCAAAGCTTTGAATTTTTCAATAGTAGCCACTAATACAATCCTAAGGGGTAGAATTAGACAGATAGGGGTTCAGGGCTTCTCTGTTCTTGAGTTTCTTCATTTGTAAAAGGAGAGTAATCATACCAAGTATGTAAGGTTTTAATCCATGCAAAGAATTTAGCACAATGTCTGGCATGCAAGTTTGTTCCTTCTGTTGATTAATTGATCAATCGATTGATCTATCCCTCCCTAATAGCATTTGGCAGCTCAGACTTTTCCAGACTGTGAAAAAATTTTATTTTTTCTAACTCAGGGTCACTTTCCAGCAGCTTTCCCTGATTTTCTGATTCTGTTTAGCTTTGGCTCTTGTCTCCCTGCAAAAATCTGGAGTACTGTTCGCACTACCTAGGTGAAGCTATTGATATTGATGATGCCTTCACTCGTATTTCATGTAACTTAGCAAGACTACAATTACACACTCACAAACACATACATATGCATAAAATATCCGCGTGTATTAAAAAATGAATTTGTTCCTCTGCTATGAGAATCACCAGATGTGATTATCATTACTTATCTCCACAGGATAGTTGAGGATATTTGAGGAATTATGGTTTGCTGTGGGATTTAAAGGAAATGATTGTGCTAAGTAGAATAGCTAAAGCAACAGTGTCATCATTAAATTAAAGGTATATTGTCTGTTTCAGCTCAATTTCTGTCACGTTCTGGAAGTGGGATATCATTGCTGGGATAAGCCTGACGTTCGGCTGCTCCCTCCAACGGGCTACACAGTGGTTTATAGCTTTTGTGCACGGAGATGTTTGGGTCCTTTCTCTTGGATTGTTAAATATTTTCATATTTCCCCAGTTTATTTTGGAATATATATAAAACATTTGTATATATAAGTTGAATGATCTAAAGGCTTTGGGAAAAATGAGGCTTTTATTAAACAGAGTCAACATTTAGAAAAGGCGCTTGAAGCTTAAGCAGTATTTTTGTTGTTGTTGTGAAGGAAGCAAAGAATGTTTCTATAATTTCCAGAAAGAATCCTCTTCAGACATAAGGTACAGCTTGCAAGGTGTTTTATCAAAGACGGTAAAATCTAGGGCTTCCCTGGTGGTGCAGTGGTTGAGAGTCCGCCTGCTGATGCAGGGAACATGGGTTCGTGCCCCGGTCCGGGAAGATCCCACATGCCGTGGAGCGGCCGGGCCCGTGAGCCATGGCCGCTGAGCCTACGCGTACTGGAGCCTGTGCTCCGCAACGGGAGAGGCCGCAACAGTGAGAGGCCCGCATACCGCAAAAAAAAAGAAAAAGGTAAAATCTATAAACTTGGAACTTACTAGCCAATGATATTATCCCTACCATTTCTGATTGTTTTAAAAATCAAGAAAAGATTATGTAAGAAATATACAGACAGTGCTTCTTTTACTTAATGTATACCACTGTGAAATTAAAGGTCTTTCACAAATTATAAAGATATAATGGGCAATTAAGGATCTAATATACTGACAAAGAAAGACCAATTGCTGAATTTATTTTCATTCCTTTATATTTTGAGAGATAGTGTTTGTAAATAACAAAACTAAGAACAGTTACATGGCTCTCGAAAATGCATATTTATGGAAATAAGATGCTTATCAAGAAGCATCATTTTGCAGGTGGAAAAACTAGCTTATTATTCAGTCCTGACTAATGTGATGACTTTATACTCTCTTATGTACTTTAGTGCAGGTGGCATTGTTTGTTTATTTAGTAAAAAAATTTATGTTCTACTCAAGTCTTGATAAAAAACAGCCAACAGTTATTGAGGATCTGCTAAGTGGCTGAGATATATGAAATCATAGAGTTCTCACACCATTCCCATGAGATAGGTATAATTAGCACCCATTTTACAGGTGAGGAGACTAAGGCATACAGAAGTTATGCAATTGGTTCAAAGATAGATAGCAGTAATTAGTGGAGTTGAGATTTGAACCTAGGTGTCCTAGCTACTAGTATAAGGAACTTGTACGCTATGAGACTAAAATCTAATAAAATAGTGGGTTTTTTGAAGAAGTTTTGGACTATGACCCTTAGTAAGAAGTACATTGTATTGTGCTCCAGTATACACACTCTCCCCCTATATGTTAAACATGGAACACATTTCACATAAAGAAACTTGCCCTTACTAAGTGTGAGATATTCTGATACATTCCATTCTATTCTGTTTTAGTAAAAAAGTCTAGTTATATTTATTAGTTTCACAAACAACTATTGGTTTGTGACCTACAGTTTGGAAAATCACTATGCTAAGGGACCTGTTAAGATACAATAACACTAAATGAGGCTAAGAAAAACTAAAGATGCCATTTATTAAGAACCTACTATGTGCCAAAATGCTGGCATTGATATTCAAGTATAATATCCTCAATTCTCATTACAACCCTGAAAAGTAACTTATCATATTTTACAGGGAAAAAAAATGGTTGTGGAGAGGTTAAGCGATTTGTTCTACACAGATTTAGCCTGATCCATAGTTCCTTCCACTAGTCTATTCCAGTAATAACATTTAAGTATTATGAAACAATTAAATCAGCACTGGAAAGGTATTTATGATTTTCTTTTGAATTGGTTTAGCAGTAAATAGAAAATACAAGTCATCTTACTACTAGGAAAGAGACTGCTTAATTTTGAGGTATAGTCATTGAGTTTGTTACAATGGAATTTAACATCTTGAATGTGCCAAGAGAAATATTATTGAATAGAAAAATAAATTCCCGCCTAGAAGAAGGTTGGGTACAAAGGACACAAGCAAGCAATGCTAAAAGAAAGAAATGCAAATCCCTCCTACCAAAAAGAAAAAAATGTGTTTAATTTAACAAATAGTCAAAAAACTGAAAGTTAATATATATTAATTGTAAATGAGGATAAATATAGATGTGAAGGTGAGGATACAAAAAACTTGGCAATGGGTAAAGACCATAGTTTTGAAAAATACTTTATCGAGGCCGAAGTAAGAGAACATGTTAAAAGCTGTAGAAGCACTCATTCTTTTTCTAGGAATTCACAGTAGAGAATTCATTTAATATAAGGATGTTTGTAGTAACTTATTTATAGTATTAGAAGACCAGAAACTACCTAACAGAGAGACTTAAATTGTGGTAATCCATAAAATAATGTTATTAGAATTATTTTAAAGATAAACATTTACAACCCTGGAAATACATTAGAGAATTAGATGAAAATGCAAATTATGAGACATTATAGAAAGTATGTCCAATTTCTCTAGATAAGATCTTTTGTATAAAAGAGGTTGGAAAGATACACTTAAAAATGTCAACCTTGTGATAGGATACTCTGTTTTTTTCCCCATATGTTTATATTGTCAGTATATTATAAACCTGAATTATTTAAAATTACACAGAAGAAAAAGCCTTTAAAACTGTTTTGCTCTTGAGAAAACTATACCTTCCAGAAAGAGATTTCTTAATACCAGATTAAAAAAAAAAACCAAACTTTACGATGTAATGTAAAAAGCTAAACTGCAAGAAAGAAGGATTCAGCTGCATATCTAGCAAATATAATATGCAAAATGGCCACTGGTTAAAATAGAATGTAGAAGAAATTTTAAGGTATCATAAAAGTTAATACATTTGTGGTATAAAATGAGGAAAATCAGGATTTTTTGTTGCCATGACAACTTCCCTCTGTCCCTTACATTTATTCTACTTAGGAGGACTTTAATTATGTCTATCTCTAGGTCCATAAATTGATATGGATTTCTTGGATTTTACAGTGAGATAGTCTAT